GTGCTTATTCTAGAAGAGATAGTTTAATTATAGCGCGAATGTTAAATGTGCTTATTCTAGAAGAGATAGTTTAATTATAGCGCGAATATTAAATGTGCTTATTCTAGAAGAGATAGTTTAATTATAGCGCGAATATTAAATGTGCTTATTCTAGAAGAGATAGTTTATCGTAGGTTTGTTTTATTAAATGTCTTCAAATCGTACGTTGTGTAGTTCAGTTGTTGTGAATTGGCGATTGTTGTATTATTGCGTCATGTTACTAGAATCTTCTAAGTGTTTCTCGCTGTTTTAATTGAGTATTATTGCATCATAATATCTTGTAGTGTGTATAAAGTTCTAATTCTTTGTAGGCTATAAATACACGTTCAAAATGCAGCTAGAGTTAAGTTAGTTAGAGTTATATAGTTAGCTAGCTAGATCTAAAGTGCATGATTGTGAGTGTATAGTAGTAATTTTTAAAGTGAAATTGTCACAGATTGTATTGCAATAACAGAATAGCGAAGAAGAATTTGCCTTGTCAATTGTGTTCTAAAGTAACTGAACCAGCCTCTGTGGACTTTGACAAAAAGAGACAATTAGTTAAAGCTATGAATACAACTGTGAAAACCAACAGTGTAACTAACATTTGTATATACGTTTTATTAATTTGGACGGTGTTCTGTTAGTTTATTGTTGAAATTTATCGTGAACAAGTCACAGACATCTACTGTAAAAAATTTGGCACCTACCTAAATCCTGATAGTTAATGAAATACTTTAATCATAAGAAAACACTGAGCTGTCCGTGGTTGGGAAATTGCTATGAACCAAATATACAAATGCTAAGCATGTCACTCGTGCCCCAGTCAAATCGTTCATACAATGTGGGTTAACCATATGTATTATCTGCCATAAAATAAAAAATATTTAATGAAACATTATGTTATAACTATCTACTACTTTCTCACTTTTCTGTCTCTACATCTAATCAGTTGTTTGTGCAATAAACAATCTTGCCATAATAAACAAATAAAAAGTATAACAATTAAAAATGAATTTTACCTACAACAGAAAAACCTTACCTTCTTTAAAAAATGTTAATTTTAAATGCTAGGAAAACACATAGGTTAAAAAATCAACTAAAAACAAAATTAAGAAACCTTATAGGGGCAAAGAGTTACATGCTATAAAACGAATGTTTGTTACCTGCTATGACATCTGTTCCACACTGTAAAACAGATAAAAAACAGTAATAAAATACCAGTATTTACTAATGAATAGATGATTCAGATAACCCGACTAGCTTCTCAAGTGACAAAGTAAAATTCTAATCAGCCCAGAAAGGTCAAGGTTCACTAACGGCAGTTCAATGCAAAAACTAATTTGAAAAATCAGCTTCTAAATAGGGTCGAGTTCACGTCCTGTTTTCTTTATTTGTAAATACTTTTAATTACATAAACATCAGTACAATACTCCTTGTGGAGTATGTAAACCTAAACCTCAGTACAATACTCCTTGAGGGGTATGTAAACATAAACCTCAGTACAATACTTCTTGAAGGGTATGTAAACATAAACCTCAGTACAATACTTCTTGAAGGGTATGTAAATATAAACCTCAGTACAATACGCCTTGAAGGGTATGTAAACATAAACCTCAGTACAATACGGCCTTGTAGGGTATGTAAACATAAACCTCAGTACAATACTCCTTGAACGGTATGTAAACATAAACCTCAGTACAATACTCCTTGAGAGGTATGTAAACATAAACCTCAGTACAATACTCCTTGAAGAATATAAACATAAACCTCAGTACAATACTCCTTGAGAGGTATGTAAACATAAACCTCAGTACAATACTCCTTGAACGGTATGTAAACATAAACCTCAGTACAATACTCCTTGAACGGTATGTAAACATAAACCTCGGTACAATACTCCTTG